TGGGCAGTTCTTGTCCAAGTTGTCGAAGTAAGCAGTGGTGGCAGCAGTGTCGACAATGTATGGGTTGTAGCCAGCGCTATTGCGAGGTTAGCATAACTCGTCTTCTTCGTTAGCGATAGCAGGCGTAGACTTACCAGGAAGCGAACTGCGAGGAGCAGAAGGACTGGTTGGCGTTCGGGCCAGTCTGGCATTGACCAAGCTTTGCGTAACACTCGCATGTCTTCGCATCAGGCTTGCCAGCTGGGTAGGTTGGAGCAGGGGCCGAGGACGATGCACCGTAGGTAGGAGGAGCGGTAGGGTAGCCGTCTGGAGCAGAGGTGGTGGCGGCCTTGCAGTTCGCCTGCAAGTTGGCGAAGTATGGGGCTTGCTCCTCGCCAGTGAAAGGGTTGTAGTTTGCGCTAATGAGAGAAAGTCTGTCAGTGTGTCGGCACCAAGCTGCAAGAAGACGTTTGTGCTCACCATCCAGCGAACTGAGATGCACAGAAGGACTGATTGGCATCTGGGCCACCCTGACACTCTCTGTACTTGAAGTAGCAGTCGCATGTCTTAGCGTCTGGGGCAGCGTAGCTGGTGGCAGAAGCCAGGCCGATGATGGCCGCGAAGATGGTGTACTTCATTGTGGTTGAACGAATGTGGTGGAATGGTATAAAGGAATGCGAGAGATGAGTTGACAAGGGGAGGGATACATGGGAAAAAGGCATATATGTAGTACTGAACCTTGCAGCGTGGCCGCCATATCTTCCGTGGCTTCCGCGGTTCGTGTTTGGTAAATGAGCCACCCGTTGCACAGTACCGCTAATTTGCCAGTGTTTGCCGGCGAAAGGACGAGTAAGGTGGACGTGACGTCTCGTGTTCTTTAGCGTAGCAACCCATGGCACAGTGATGTTAAGCTATGCCGTTCTGGGCCGAAACGTTCGTATCCGCACGGATAAAAGATCGGCTCTGCTCCGTATTCGATCTTTTTCTGGCTACACCCAAAGCTAACTTGGATGTACCCCAGTCCAGCCTGCCCCAAAGGTCATCTATTAGTGATTATTACAGTGGTCGCTCTTCCTAATTGTCCTACTTATCCCTGCTCGGCAGGCCAGAGCCCGTTGTGCATCGCTGCTGCAGGATTCTGGGGAAGCGTACTTGCACGACGTTTCACGCGAATAGGCGATCAGCCCTGGGAGATCGCAGATGCAAGAAAATACGACAGATCTGCTGCGTAGCGCCGTTCTGCCCAAGGAGATGAAAGCGTCGAGGCACAGGAGGCTAGGTTACGCGCTTCCAAGCACCTCGCCCTATGGGGACTTGCCACCTCGGGTGAACATAACGTTATTTGCGAACTTCAAACCAGCCTTGCTCGGGCACGCTGCGCCGCTGATTTGGATGTTGCGAAGTAAGCATCGCGTTAAGCTCATGGATTGACGCCTCCTCGTGTCATTTCCCGACGTGGCTGAAGGCTATGTTCAGTCGCCCAACCTAGTCGCTTGATAGAACGGATCTAATCACACCTACGCAGGTCAAGCGACTGTGGGAAATTGTTCGACCTCGTGTCCAACGCCTCCCTACTTCGAGATAACCTGCGGCTCGTTCCACATGTCTTGGAGATAGGCGATCAAGATGTTGACCATCATCGTCAACGTCGATGTTGGCTTGAAATTCGGTATAGCAATGATTATCACCCATGACCACATCTTCGAGATCTTCAATGGCATGAAGACGAAGGAACCTCCGCAAAGACCCACACATCCAGTTCGCAGCAAGTTCGCAGCACATAGGCCCGCTAGCAGTGAGTGTACGCAGCCTTGTGGACAGGCGCCTAAATTGCTGCTGGCAGAGAAAAGGCTGGAGAGCTCATAGGTCGAATCGGCACTGAGCTCATGTAAGGTACCCGAGGTGCAGCGGAGGCTATCACTGATCAGACTGCCCCTGACAGAATCTCGTATTCGAATTGAAACCCGACCCTGGGAAAGGGAGGCCGAAACAATGAATGATAGATACCACTGCCATTTGGGCGCAGCAAAGCCAGGCCCCAAGAACACCCCCATTCTGTGGACAAGGCTCCGAAGGTAGCGTGACATCGCAAACAGAGAGCAAGTCGCGTGATGAAATGGGAACTGCGACAACTGTCCGCCCGGTGACTCGTCGTTCAGCAGACTGGCTGATGCTATGGCCCTCTTCATTGCCCACGACCGAGCAGGAGAAAACTGGTAAACAGGGTTACCTGAAGGATAGGAAGTATCACTCCAGCATGCACGTAGGTCAGTTTTATTATTGCTGACAGAGTGGACTGGCAAGATAGAGAGAGCGGCTAACATGTCCATCTCACGGATCCACGGACACCCAGCTGGAACTCGACCATTCCTTTCGCGCCTGGCTCCAGATCCAAATGCTAATGGACTGTCAGATGTTTTGGTATCGCACAGATTGTCTGCAAGGCCCGAACGAAGCACTATGGACCATGCATTTGCCATGATCAATCCAATCCAGCAAAGCCCAAATTCGAGCTCTCTCGAGCTGGGGCCGCGAACTCGCAAATCGTTCGCATCCTCGCGCTAAGAAGCCTACGCTCGAGCAAACAAGTGTGTAAAGAGGTTGTCGTCCGGTTACATCGCAGGCCGAACTTCACCAGGCAGGGATTTCGCCTGACGGCGGCCACGGGGCTGCTCAACGACTACACAAGGGTCTCACGTGGAGGATGATTGTCGCTCAGCTGCTAAATACGACCCGGCCTCCACCTTCTTTCCTCCAACGGATGAGAGTTATAACCCGTTGTAGAACGCAATGACTGGCTCAAGCGGAGGAAGAAAGAAGGAAAAAGATTTGGGTCAACAACATTCCAGAGCTATGTAACTATCAAGCTACACATTGCTCCAGCCCAACTTCCACTAGAAGAAAAGGCATCGCCCCATCTTCTTTCGCAAATCACAAACGTCAGAATTTCCATTGTCCCTCTTTTGTTCAGCCCGGATTGCATCAGATCATACTGGTCCTTCATGAACGCCTCAAAAGAAATAGCTCTTCCGCCCGCACTCAGCGCTTGTCAGGACCCAGTGCCCGCATATCATTTTCCTTGGAGACGATACTCTCACGATGCGGTGGTCGGCATGACCTTCTCGGGTTCGCACCAGCAATGCTTGAACGATGTCGTGATCACCGAAGCGGGATGATGGTATTCGCATTCCTTGATCAGTCCCAGGGGACACGGTCGCTTCGGATTATCTAGGCCGTAGGCATTGGTTGGGGCGGGAGTAGACGATGTCGAAGTGGATACTGGCTCCTTCTCATGCTCTACCACACGAGTGATGTGATGTGGTGCTGTGGGTGCAGCAGGCCCCAGGTTGAGTGTCTTCGTGACCACGGAACTTTCGTGGCAGTGGCCTTTGGAGGCATGCATCGATTGAGTTCCGGTGAAGACTTCGCCGCAGTTGTACAGAGTATTGTGCTTCGAGACATTTGGTGAAGCATCCGGATGGATGCTTGGGTCGTGCTTCGCGTCGTGGAAGTTGCTCGTGGTGACAGTAATGAAGGACTTGACTGCTTCATCTGCCTCACTGGCTGCGCAGACTGCTGTGCCAGCGTAGACAGCTAGTGCTGCAACTGTGGAGAACTTCATTTTGATGGAAGGTAGTGGCGGCAGGGCAGTGGTTGGTCTGAATGTGGTTGTGCAAAGCCAGGCAGGGCCGGCTAGGTACGAAGGCGAGTTCAGTCGAGAGTGGATGTTGAAGGAGAAGGGGCACAGTCGATAAAGGAGGATATATGTAGTCGCGCGGCGAAGAAAAAACTCATGGCAGCGTGCATGTTCCGCCGTGTCTACTTCTGGGTGAGCCAGCCTGGCGCGTCTGGTTGATTTCCAGGTGAATGTGAAGTGGCCTCAGGGAAGTGGGGACCTGGACCCCAGATCGCCACATAATCAACCGCAAGATAGTGATGACTGCAGAGGGATGGAGGGGATAACACGATTTTGTACTTCCCAACCCCAGAATTTGGGGAGGCGTACCGTTCCGCACTCTAGAAAAGTCTCCAGAACCACGGCGTACGGGACCAGGTCGACAGTTGGCAGTGCCGAGTGGAGCTGAATCACTGGAGAATATATGGCGCTGAATATCGCCGCGGTGCTGCATCTTCGGGTATCTCTCACGTTACTCATGGGTCTAGTTCTATCTCCGTCATGATACTTCCTTACCTATGCTCATGATGTCGTCTTTCCTTCGTCCTGCTCGTAGTTCTCAGTCTTGATGTCCTTCAACCCGAGATCTTCTTCTTCCTCCTCGGTCCGGGTGTAATCTTCGAGTGTAAGTTTTGGATCAGGCTCTGGCGCAGTCAAACTTTGTACATATGAGCCGGCCAGCGGATCCTCGAGGACAAGTGTAAACTCTTTACGGCCTTCGATGGCGTCCTCCAGCAGCGTGAAGAAATCTTCCCACTGCTTTTTGCTTTCCGGAGCCATAGAATCTCCGACACCGTCTGGCAGGTCCGCATCACCGTCCTCGAGACCAAATGCCTGAGCCCTCAAGTCTTTGCGGATGTTAGTCATAATGCCTTCTACGGTGGTGAATCGGCCACCCATCGTGCCCGGCTCGACGCGTAATTGTAATTCTGGACAGCTCAGCGCTGCGCTCTCGCTTTTGAGAATGTCTCGTGCCAAGTCTTCTTTGGTGCTGACCTGGAGCGTGATCTTGCGACCCTTTTCTGGCACCTCGCCACCGGTCTTGACTTCGTTGCTTCGGTAGCCGCAGTGGTCGCATACTGTTGACATGAGGACGACTTGCTTGAAGAAAGGAATGTTGACCATCTTCATGTTCGTAGCGCATGGCCGAGTGCAGCCGGGACATGATGCGGGGAAGGTGTAGACCTGGTTCTCGACGATGTCCTCTTCCTGGTCCACGTTGTTCGCTTGTGGTGCAGCAGGAGCGTCACCTCCAACGAGGTGTTGGGCGTGATATTCAGGCCGGAGTGCAGTCGCAGGTGCTTCAGATTCCGGTGCAGGCACATCATCTCCCAGTCCAAGGGTCGCATTCTGCGCTGCTGATCGAATGTATTCGCTCTTTGCCCACTTGCCGGCGGGGTCGCCTGGCTTCGGCTCTATCGTGCTGTTGCCAGTCGGGTCATCGACGGAAATCATAAATGGGTATTTGTGTCCATTGAGCATATCCTCTAGCTTGCGAATGATCTCTGCCACCTTTGCGCCGACCTCTGGCATTTGTTGCATACGTGCTTCCTGGTGCATCTCCAAATCATCCTTGACAGCTCGAATGATGCCCTCCACGTTGGAGTACTGGCCCTTCCCAGGCGGGACCTCCAGCTCGACATCCTCTATCCTGAATGCGCAAACGTCGCTCTTCACCACGTTTCTCTGTAAGTCCTCATCTTTCTCTACGCGCAATGCGAATTTGGCACCCTTGGGCTGGATCTGCCCCGCAGATTGGATTTCGTTGTTGTGAAAGCCGCACTTTTCGCAGGTGAAGGACATGATGACAATTTCGCGGAAGAAGGGGATTTTTGTGAGCAGCAGCCTTGTCGTGCCATCTTCGTGACAGTTCATGCACAAGCTCTCAATTTCCTCGACGACTTTCTGGTCATCGTTGCTCCCCGATACTTGTTCGGCCTTGCGGCCCATGTCGGCGAACAGATCCTCGGCCAAGGAGGTCGGACCTCCCTGGGTGTTGGCCATATCGAATGCTTGCGGGAGCCCCATTGTGCAGAATTGTGGCAGAGGATGAGCGAGCGTGCAGAGTCACTCTGTCCCGCATGGCAGAAGTTCTCGAAAGATTCGAAAGTGGGTTAGTCAGCGCAATGACGCACCGCATGCAGGGTTTCTCGCTAGCGTGTTTTCGCGACTGACTTCAGCGCAGGTGCGTCGCGTCTTCAACGACATGCTTCACTTCGCGTGCAGCTACGCTCTCCACTCGACAGCGCGCTTTGACTTCCCTTCGCCTGCAGAGTCGAGGTCGTGCTATTCAGATTGCGTGATGGAAGCGCCTTCCCGTCCTCCGTCTGCATGCGTGTGTCAGATCTGACCACGATGCAAGGGCGGTGCGGAGAAGTGAACAGTGGCAGTCGCAAAGCGGCGGAGAGTTCAGCAGGTGCAGGCGTTGGGTGGACTTCACGAGCAGCTCTTGCCAGCCCTTCAACGGTGAGTGGCGGATGCTGCACGCAGTCGAGGGAAACGGGCATGTACGGGCCCGCTGCCACCAGTCCTTGCATCGCTCTTCCACCTCCATCTCCCCCTCCACCCCAGCCTCCACTCGTCACCGCACCGCACCCATTCCGACTACAATTCTTCACCGCCGCTACACTCTCTCACCATGCTGCTCATCGCCCTCATCCTCGCCATCTTCGGCGTGTCAGTCACCAGCGTCAACATCACGGGCCCGCTGTACCAGATCAAGACCGAACTCCAGCCGTCTTCGGCCAACAAGACGAGCTACAACAGTAAGTCATGTGCCCACTCCACCACCCTTCAGGCACTCACTGAGCAATACACAGACCTCTGGCTCTACCCCTTTCACACTGGCGCCGGTCTCAGCGACGCCACCTTCCGCGAGTCTCAGGGCGGCGCCAGCAAAGCCTTCTTCAGCCCAACCAACGTCACCGGCCAGGACAACCTGCTCTTCGACTTCGGCAGCACCTTCACCTTCGCTCTCAAGATGATCCCCAACCAGAAGTTCTACTCCGCTTGGCAGCCCGTCGAAATGAACGCTGGTGTGCACGGCAGCAAGACCGATGTCTCGGGCTTCTTTGTCAACGAGACTGGATTGCAGTGGAAGAGTCCCGGCTTCGGAGGCTGGATCGGTGGGTCGACTTGCGCCCTCTCGCTTTTGCTCTTGGTACGATGCTGATCATGTGCAGTGTGCGATTGGTGGCACGGCTTCCCACAACTCTTCTTCCGCACCAACAACCCTGGGTACAACTATCCAGCACCAGCAAGCTGCGCTGAGGTGTACCTCTGCCCAGTGCCTGCTCAGGTTGACTGAGACAGTAGCGCGGCAAGATTATGAGGTGTTCTCTGCAATTGATGCTACGGCGATGCCTGCATCGAAGGGCGGGTCATCGTGATTGAAAGGAATGCGAGAAAGGTCAAAGGGACATCAGTGAGCAATACGTAGGTGCAAATGTCATTTCATCGCTCATGACTGTTTACTCGTCGTATCACATTCCCATATTCATCGCAAGTAAAGACGCCCACTCCCTGAACAGGCAGCGGCTTGGATGCTGTGAGTGACTGCTTTTGCAACCTCGATAATCACAAGCCTGGTAATTTTGACAAAATCGCCCTCGCGCGAATCGCCTCGCTAGTTAAGTCGATCAACGTACGCGGGGTGAATCCACGGACTGTCTCCCAACTCTCGAGCCTCCTTTACAGTGTATTCGCCCGTGTCTTTCTTCTGGCCCGCGCGTTTCTTGAACACGGGGTTCGTTACAATCTGGAAAACGCTTTCATCGAGTTCGTAGCCACAAGCATTTTCCACAGCATCGCCACATCCCGCCACGTCATCGACGGCAATACACAGCTTGTCCATACACGACATCTTTGCTTTGCGACAATCGAGTCGAATCTTGGTGATGAGTCCGAAGTAGAGAGGGTCGACGTTGATCAACCAGGCTTCGAGGGTGGGTCGTCCTCTGGCATAACAAGTAGCATTTGGTAGCTGGAAGACGGAGTTGGCGAGGTACTGATGTGCGACGAGTTTGCGGGTTCTGCGGTTGAGGTGGAGTTGCCATGGAAAGCGGTAGCGACTTGTGAGCAAGATCTTGTCAGTCGGCCTCTTGTCTTTGGTGTTCTCGAGTGAGGCAATCAAGGTGTGATCAAGAATCATGTCCTGCAGTTCTTGGGCGAGAGCTTGGATGCGGTCCGCCAGCTTTTCTTCGTCGCCGTGCTGGATTCCACTGCAACCGCTTGGCGAGAGCAGAGACGGCTATTTTTACAACATGCTGAGGCAATGAACTTAGGGCTAGGACATGACTGATACCGTTCGCTTTATCTACTCAGCTTTTTCCGCAGGAAAAGAGCGCCACCGAGTCAACCATCCCTGCTGTATCGCTTCTTGCTCTTGCCCTTCTTCCTGTGTTTGAATCATCGATCTCAAGTATGGCGAAATCCCTGAGTTGTACTGCTTTGACACTCATGCTCCAAGATATCTTGCAAGTTCAGGAAGAAAGCTCGACGAATTGAAGAGGAGCTCTGCCATCGTATCTTTTCACCCCTGTTTATAGAAGCCCACTGTTCACGAGACAATGACAACGTCTTTCGTGCCGTATTCTCCGGCTCCTGTATCTCACTCAAGCTCTGTGCCCAAAGCTTTGGCTGCGAGCCGACGCTTGTAACTGTTCTCAATTAGTCGCTCTGTCCCGAGAATGATTGTGGAGATACTCTCACAGCTGCATGAAAGAGCAGATCTCCGCATTTGACATCCAGCGGATTTCCCCTTTTGCACCTTCGACCTGCAGTACGGGCAGCTTGAGCACATTCTCTCTCAATCGGATGCCCGAAGTCCTGAGTGCAGCTGTGATATGATCGAGACAGAAGGTGTAATTACCGGCATCCCACCTGACAATGCTCGGATCGTGAAAAGAGCCGGCTCCTTTCAGGTTTCCCAGAGAGAGTGGATGGCAGGACACGCGAATCTCTTGGATCAAGGACATCGTGTTTGGCGGAAGACTGCACAGCCAGCCTCTCCACTGGCTCGGGCTCTTCTCGACGGCGGTAAAGATACTGGAGCGACAGTAGTGTTTCACGAGAAACTTTCGAGTGCGCTGGTTGACGCTCAGCTGCCATGGTGGTTTGTATGCTGCTCCAATCTGGACATCGCGGTACTCGACTCCAGCTAGAAGTGCGAAGTCCAGAATGAGATCTTGTAGCTCTTGTGACAGCGTTTGGATGCGGTGGTCATCGATTTCCGGTGTGGCGTTGTTGCTGGCACTGAGGGTTGACGCGTCAGCTGTGTTCCTTACTTGATTCGAGGCATCACTGTCTGCGCCCATGGCAGGCGTTTCACTAGCGAAAGTCATGGGCGGCAACCACGATGGGGATGCGGATAGATGGATGAAGGTATAAGGGCGTTCAAGGTACAGAGCCAAAGATGGAAGCTCAAACGGCCAAGGCAGCACACAAAAGCTACACGAGCCACACCACTGGTTTCACGCTGGCAGCCTAAACGAAGATCTCTCGTAGACTTACTCGACACTTTTGCGCGAGATTCATTATGCACATTAGTTTCTTTGGACGTGTTCTCTGCAGGAGCTGTAGATGCACCCATTTCGGCCACTGGAGTAGGCAAAGGGAGGAACTGCATGGCGATGCGCGATTTTGGCCTTCTACTGATAGAGGTGCTTCCATTGATCATCATCGATATGAGCATTATCCGATTCCAACTTTATCCCATACGAGACTGCGGTCGACGCTTTGTGCCAGGTCTCGCACTCTCGGGCTGATCGTGACTGATCTCAGTCGCTAATCACGATCGCAATCTTGACGCTCTTCTTCGTCTGCAGCTTCATAATCGCCGTCGTCTTTTTCCTTGATATCCTTCTCCTTTTCCTCTTCTTCCTCCTCGCCGTGTTCTTCGTCTTAATGCCCCTCACCGCTGTCGAGCTCACTCTCCGAGTCGTCTTCCATATTTGAGAGGAGTCTGGTGTCGTGTCAGCGGTCTGTTGCAGGAGCACATCAAGCGATTTAAATCACGACTGACTGTTTGATGACCCAGCCAATCTCATCGTAGGAGAGCCAGGTAAGCACTGTTAGGTCCTTGTCACTGCTGTAGCATGGCAACTTCATGACGTCCGGGCCGAAATCGTACCCACGCCTTCCAATGATGAAATGAGTGTCTCTTATGGCTATCATATGATCGCTGTACAGCTGCACCTCTTCCTCGATCGTTGATGGTCGCGCAGGTACTTCGCCGCGAATGCGGATCTCCTGGATTTCGGATCGGTAGAGTGTCGGAACCTTTCTGAGCCACTGGGTGAGGAGATGCAGATTGGGCGCCTCTCTTGCAATGACAACTCGCTCCGGGACCACAAAAGAGGCAGTCTCGTAGAACTTTGGCGCAACAAATTTGCGCGTCCTGGAGTTGACGCTGATTTGCCATGGGGGCGTGTCGTCGATGACCGCCTGGACACCTTCGACGGCAGCGATGAGGGTGAAGTCGAGGATCTTGTCTTGCAGTTCCTGCGGCAATGCTTGTATGTGGTCTTCCAGCTTGTTTCCTTCGTCGCCGTCGGTACCTTCAGACCGTGCGGTCGTCATCTTCAGTTGTCGCTCGAGGTAGGTCGGCGCGTCAATGCCGCTGGAAATGTGATACTAGACGTTGTTGTGCTTGTGTCGTGTCGTGTCGTGTCAGTCAAAGATAGCAACCGGTCGAGTGTGATGTGTGAAGGGATGTGCGATTCGCGATGTTGATGGCAGGTGCGGCCGAGTTGCGGCAAGCTGAGGCAACAACGTTTCGCAGCACTTGCACTTGAACTTGCACTTGCACTTGCCAACCATTTCTGGAGTACCTTGATGCTCCACAGAGCCAGTATCTCTACTGCGGAATCCACCCCGTCCCCTTCGCTCTCAGATCTCTGGTGACCTTATCCATGTCTAGCCCCAAAGCCTTCTCCAAGAATCTGGGAATCCCAGTATTGTCATACCCACCTGCCATATCCTCCTTCAGCTCTCTTCCCATCCTTCCAGCTGCATACCCGTACAGCGTCGTATCAACGCCAGAATGCCCTCCAGTCGACCACCTAATTCCGGCTCTTCGGCTCAGCACCTCAGGCAATTGAGCAAAGTCTCGCAGAATCGAATCAATGTCCGACGTGGATGCTGCGGAGATTCCAGCAGCAGGCAGAATCGTTCCCGTCAAGAAGTCTCTCGACTTATCGCTTCCCTCCCATTGCTCGAGAAGATACTCGTACGAGTGCTGCGCGGTTGTCAAAGCTCTCGGATCGTATCCTCCCGGGAGCGTCAAACCTCCTGTCTCGTGATCTGCAACGCTCAGCATGGCTGTGTCCGGATGGCGATCGATCCACTCTTTGACCAGGTCGATGACTTCGTGGTAGGCCATGACGTCGTGAAGGTGGGCTGCAGCGTCGTGGGCGTGGGAAGAATGATCAATGCGAGAGGCCTCAATCATCATGAAGTAGCCTTTGCCTCGTTTACCGCGACCGGAGCATTGCCTGCCGCGACAGTTGAGTTCGCGATCCAGAGAGTTGAGCGCGGTTTGTGCCATCTCCGCGAGTGAAGGCTCGCGTTCGGCTTCAGGCTGCTGTTTGCGGTCGATCTCGTAGCTGAGATCGTAGTCCTTGAACAGCCCGATGTATGGAAGTCTGGTAGATCCAGTTCCGCTCTCGAAGTCGTTGAAGCCAGCGCGGTCTTGAGCGACTGTGTAGCCTTCCTCTTCTGCGAACTTGAAGAGGTCGATGTCGTCTTCTCTGCAGGAGTCCTCGTTGGTGCTTGGCTGAAAATAACAGCGACCGCCGCCCAGCAGGATGTCCACGCTCATGTTGAGGGGATGTGAGTACCCAAGCTGTTGCTCCGCAATCTGTGGGAAAGCGTTGCGGTTCACAACATGAGCGGAGTAGGCGGCTGGCGTAGCGTGATTGATACTGCTCGTCACAACGAGTGCAGTGAGGAAGCCTTCCATCTTGGCCGCCTCCATGATTGTGCCAACGGGCTGGCCATCAGGCAAAACGCCAATCGCTCCATTATTCGTCTTGAAGCCAGTAGCAAGAGCTGTACCCGCAGCAGCAGAGTCGGTGACGAGGTTATTTGCGGAGTGGGTTCGAGTGTTGCCAATGGGCTGAACATGTCAGGTCTTGCGAATATCTCTTGAGTGTGCGCTTGGGCTTACCAGCTGGTCGGTGAAGATGGCAGGAATATTGGGCGACTGAGGTGTGGCGCCATTCAGCATGGCCTTGTAAGTTCTGACCAGCGTCTCAGAAGCTGGGGCCATGCCATCTGGCACAATCATGATAAAGTTCTTGGGACGAACAGCGGCAGTGGCCGTCGTGGCAGAAGCCACAAGGAATGCTGCGTTAATTTTCATGGTGAACAGAAATGGAGGAAAAAGAAATTTGTGCAATGTAGAGGACAAGGTGCTCGGTGAGGACCTACCATTCATCCTTTTATGACTTTTCGACTTCATCCCGTCACCACGCAGGAGACCAGAATCTGTCATCGCCCGTGAGGGAAATGAGTACCCGCTCCGTTGAAGAGGTTGTGCATGCCCAGAAAACTGAAGGAGCTGAACCAAGAGCCGCGGATAGGAGCAGATGAAGTTGCAGAGGACGACTGCGAAGCGCTAAGGCTCTTGACATTCCGGAATATGCTTGGCAGGGACGGGATGGAGTCCGAATGAGGAAGGTTGCGAAAGGTGGTTCCTGCACGTGGTGATGCTCATTGGCCTGTGAAGGCTTCTGCATACTGCTCGCTATGGAGAAGTATATGATGGCCAAGATGACCATAAAGGTTTCGGAGAGAGCCGACACTCACGCTGCGGAGGTCAGCTTTTGGATCTCCGTTTTACAGCTTGCACGCCTCATCTCCATCCAGGCAGCCTCACGATGACGGACAATCGCTTCGCCATGTCCTCTCGCTGTGGATTAGTGCCATGGCCCAAGTTGTGGCATCAAGCATTCTGACGCCCTTTGACTGTCCAACTAAGAATGGGCACCTGACCAGAGGGCTCGATGCACATCCTCAAAGCAGGGCTTTGCCGTGCCGTGACCCAATAACACCCTTTACCCCGTCATCCAAATTCATGCGGCTCGTACTTGTACAATTTTATCATTATATCTTTCGTCCTGTGATCCCAATGCTCTTCATCTGTAAAACTCTCCCCGTTTGACGTTGACTCCGTACTCTCCGACTGCCATTCCCAGGTCCTCCATGGTCAGAACAGTTCGACCCTGACCACCACTGGCACCTCCACCTCCATAGCCGGCCCTGGGTCCACCGAGTGGCGCTGCCTTGCCGGTGGCATCTTTCTTGCCTTTGCCGGCTGCTTCATCTCCTGCACCACCCGGCAACCCAAATCCAGCAGCACCTCCGAGACCCGTGAGCGGATTATTCGAGGTTGTGTTCGTGCTCCTGATGCGTGAATATTGGTACGCATCGGCTGCGATATCGGCGATGAATTTCTGGGTCGCGAGGGCCAGCAGACGAGCTAGTCGTCTGTCGGTCTCGGGTGGGGGAGGGAGACCAGCCAGTGTGAGGTAGTAGTCGGTGACGGCATCCGGAATCAGTGGAGCATAGTCGTCCATCTTGCCCATGAACTCCCGTAAACTGGTATCCTTCTTGATCGGGATGCGCGGCTCTTCAGGCGCTTTGAGACCGTTTGCTTGCTCGGGAGCGCTGGGCTGTGAGGGCGCCGCATCTTCCACGGTGGTGTTGTTCATGGCTGCGTCTTGCGATGTGATTTCGGCGTCGAGGTCGCGCTCTTGCGTGGCGTCAAGCGCGGCGGTATCGTCTCCGGCAGACTGTGTGTGTGATGTGGCAGTGGGGCCGGACTGAGCGGACAGGGTGTTAGAGCTGTCGGCGGAGAGCGCGGTGTTATCGCCGGCAAGTGTGCTGTCGGAGGCGGAGGGATCAGGTTTGGCATCTCCGCTATCGTCTGCCATGATGGCGGTGGCTGCTGCTGTGCGACAGTACGCGAGGGCAGGTCACTCAGCTCGATGTCGGCGGATGATCGTGAGGAGCCGAAGTAGCCGGCAGCGGAAGATACACTGCTGATGGAGGAATGGCGCGAGGAGCACAGCTTGTGGGCAGCGGGAATGGATGGTGAAGTCAGTGTCGCGCACCAGCACGTAGCGTGGTCGAGGCCGAAGTTGTCCCGCTGATCACGTGTGTTCGCGCCAGATCCGCTCGGCGAGTCCTCATTGGCCGATGTGGAGAGCACCAAGTGAGTGAGGTAGCGCATCGTTTCGCGTCTCTCTCTTCCTTCGATATACTTATAGAAGTCGGGAGAAATCACTGCGCGGCATGCGGCCAACTAAGTACTGCAGCAGGCACGCATTATACCATACTGCCTCCGCACGTCCATGGCGCCTTCCTGGTTCACGGTAGCAACGTGCAGCGCACAGATCGCTGATCAGCACTGCAAGCACACCTGAGCACAAGTACCACCGATATGCAAGTATCCTCTGTCAGGAGACCGTCTACCACCAGCGGTTTGCGTGTTCGCAGTTTGCTGTGACTCCCATGCCATGGACACAGTGCTACCGCATGTGCAGTCCATTTGCCGTGGAAGTTGCAGAGCTCGCAGACAAGTTGGTGGTGAGACCAGAGCGTCACAGGTTGTTTGATCAGTGGATCGATGCTCCAGCGATCCAGAACCGCATGTGACCGCACAGACAGCGTGCATGTATCTAAACGAGCAAGACTCGTACTTTGCCAACCTATCGTTGGCGAGCTGCAGTCGCGCACACTGCGTTGCACAGGAGCTATACCGTGGCACTCTTCTGAGACGTGGAGCTCGCAAAAGCTCTTTCAAACCCTCTCCCCGCCTTTCCTATTGAATTCACAGAGACCGCAAAGTGAGAAGGTTCGGATGTTCCGGCGACACCCTCTCGCGACATTGCCGCCACAAGTCGTCCACGTTTATGAAGGCCCGGGCGTCACAACTCCTCGTGCTCGCTGTTGCGCTACTGAACGAGGTGTGTTGATGAGAAGGACCACTGAGCCACCACAATACTGCACATTGCGGCCGAGCATTGTATGTTTGCAACGGCAATTAACAGGCCTCTAGGAGTGAAAGTCACAGCAGATCATCTTTGTCAATATGCCGTGCGGCTTGAGGAGTCGACGTCCCTTTGAATCTGGGAGGTCGAGAACGAAGGGGTACAATCACGATGTCTCGGTGCAAATCAATGAGAGCAGGGTCATCAACAAGAGCAGCGATGTCGTGCCGGTTCCCGGTGCTGCACAACGACCTGAACTCCAGCATTACACTGGATATGAAGCCTCCCTACAGAACGCACTTGCAGCCTTCAGACCTCACAAGCCAAGACCGGGTCACGAAATGCCCGAGCTCTATTTCAACAAGGGGGATCATTGCGCAGCGATGGCATGGGAACTCGTTTCATCGACAGACTCCATCGAGGATAAAATCAAGGCCGACAACTTGGCCTTTCCTTGCCACTGCCATGGGCTAGAATGTCTTACTGTTCCATGCGAGTCCAGCGAGCCTACCTGCGCAGGGTATGACAAGGGTGTATCGCATCATTCGCTCAATCCTGACGCCGTACGAACCGTATACATGCTTCCCATGAGGCAACAGCATTCGAGTGCAAGGCGGGCTCAACAACACATGGTCGCAGCGCCACTAAATTCAAGCGTTGATGGACCAGTATCGATGATCAGAGAGGCCTCTAGCTACACCACAAATTGGTGGCCGAAACCATTGCATGCGATGTGTGCTTGCGGTCACGCTCTCGGCAGACAACTTCAGGATGCTAAAGGCAGCTGCGAACTCGACCCAGCTGTCGTGTACCCCGTTCTGGCTAGCTATGACACTCACGACTTGTGCGTGAATTGTCTTGTGGTACTTGAGGAGAAGTTTTGTTGCGAATACGTGAACTTGAGTTTGTTCTCCTGGTTAAAGTTTGGAAAGCAGCTGGCAGTTCTAGAGACGTTGTCAAAGATTTGTTGTGCCAGTATGTCTAGTTCTTGGAACGGTCGAAGTATGCTGATGATGCGCGAAGCTCCCATTGAGTCTATGTTGAGGATATGTTGTGGCTCGATAAGATTATTCGGCACGTTGTCTTCCCCATAGCTCATGTTCCTGGGTCACAGGACAATGACGAGATGTCTCAGTGGTTCCGCAATTCCGTAACCTCAGGACCTGTTGTTGTGAGGAGCAGCGAACCGACATTGAAGCGTCATGCGCCCTGATAATGTTGGATGGCACGGCTTCCGGAACTGTCACTGCATTCGAGGGTGATTCTGTGACGAGTCGCATTCGGGACAGGTGCCGCGCATCCTGTGGAGATCAACGGCATACATATTCCCATGCAAGGCTTATAGCTTCGGGACATGAAGTGCATTTGTATGCATAACGTGCATGTGCCATGAGATTCCGATCCGCTTCGTAGTACGTGGGATGCGGTTTGCCTGGAGAAGGAGTTCATTGGTATTGACAGGGTGTGACAGATGACATGGTCCAGGTATTTACGAACGATACGGGACGACCTCTTTCGTTCTGGTCCTGTTTTCACGAGTCAAGAGCATTCGGCCGACTGCTGAGCGTGAGTCCGGTTCACGCGCGAGCAGCGATGCGTGGGCATCGCCACCAACAAGCTCATGTCGTACGCGAATCATACCACCTACAGTAACAGCCATAAACGCAACGCGACCTGAGATGCAAGATCTTGGGGTGCAATGCACGAGCTCGCGGTGCTGGGTTTGCCGGCAGTTCGCGATACCGGCCACGGAAGTCGCCTCACGTCAGTAAGACTCTACCTTGGATAGCGTGATGAGGCAACATAAGCGCAAGCAGAGATGCGCATACGAAGGCGTGATGAAGGACAGGGCAAAGACGACTTGTGGGTCGGGACGATGGATGTGCTCTCGCCTCGTGTACAAGATCCCAACTCTGTGGTCGCGTAAGTGCTTCCTCGGCATTTGTTGATTGATCGGGCGAACAATGCCAGACATCGCTACCATGGCATTTCTGAAAGTAGGCAGGAAGGAGGGTGATGACTGGATGCTAACGACGTTCGGAAAATCGTGGCGTCGCTCAGCAAGGCTCATCACAGGGCATGATGCTGGATGCAGCCGGGAGTTGCGAGAGCGTGTCGCTAGTCTGCAGGATATGTTCGGCCCAGCATTCTGTTCCTGGGACCAAGCGAAGCAGAAGCGTCCTGGGCGTCGGTAGAGTTTCAAGCAGATAAGCCTGCAGACGGAGTAGCGAGATGGGAAATCGTGCTCTGGCTGCCGCGGGTCGGTCACGCTGGCTCGGAAATGGTGAAGTGGCTCAGGAGAAATGAGTGTCGACGAAGCGGATGGTCATCATCGACGTTGAGCGGCGTGCGAGATGGGAAGAAGGGGAGTTCGTTGTGCAACACGCGAGGTTCTGCGGCGCGGTGAAGACTTCCGCCCAGGGACCGCCGCTTCCCATTTCCGTGCAGTGGGGGAGGCGCGCAACATCCGCCGCTGCTGATCCTTCGGACCACACTCGCCAACTCGTTGTTATCTGCAGCCATTCGCAGTCGCGCGCTGGCCGTAATTCCATCACGACGGGGAGTGCTGGTGCTGCTGCTTATCCTCTGCAGACTGCGGTCGACCGCCCCGTGGCAGCGGCTGCTGCACGACGATCCCGAAGCAGTGCACCACCACCCTGTCGCGCGGCCTGCATGCACGTTGCCGCATCAGGCGCTCTCGTAGAAAACACATGGAGAGGCAAGAGGAGAAGAACAAGTGCTCGAGCTTGCAATCATAAGCCACATCCGCCTGCGTCCATTCCCGCCTGTCGTGAACGGTGGAGGCAGTCAGCACCGCAAATTTGCTCCTCCTCAACACCGCTCCTCCGCCCCTCTGCAGGCTGATAGACGAGTGCAGGAACTAGTACCACATCCAGACCCAGCACCCGCTCCCTGGACCACTCTCTGCGCGCGTGCATGCATCCGGCTCCCTCGCCGTCATGAGCGCACCGCATACAAGGTGAGCAGCCATCCGCGCGGGCATGGCTGGTCTTTTCTCTGACCATTGCCTTTGCGATGGCGCTGCGACCACCAAGGGCAGCGTCGAGGACACCGAGTCCCTTTACTGACCACATCCAACCCATCAGGTCCCTTCGCGATGTCACCAAAGCCCTACAGACCCATTTCACCGGCTCCAAGGTTCCTTCGAGCCTGCCCAACGAGAGCCGCCGCATGCTGCAGTCGTTCATCGATGAACACGAGGGCGAGATCGATCGTGACGAAGCGAGCCGAGCGAACCAGGACTTGAAATCCTTCTGGGACAGGCACATCGCGGGGAGCACGTCGCGGCTAGGCGCTTTTGTAGGCGTGCTGCGAGAGCTGCGACCTGCTCTGGTGAACGAGGATGACATATTGGAATGGTATCAACTGGCAGCGAGGCCCGTGGTCAATGCCACAGGTCACAAGAAGGCCGCTCTGGAAGATGCGCAAGAGTTCATTGCGAGCATCCTGACATATGATGACGATGAGCCCGACTCCACGCAACGAGAGCGCACGCTGAGCCGGGTGTGCTCCGACTTGCTTAACATGTACGTCTCGCGGACACGAGGGCTTACGGAAGAGGACGGATACATTGCACCTGAGCTCGCTCAAATTTCTCATCAAGTCGAGACTGTTCTGGTCAATTTTGGCAAGAAGCACCCGAGGCGGCTCTTCTACGGCCTGGATGACATGATTGTGAAGGCAGATACGCGACTGCAGGGCTTGACGTTGCTCAGCTCTTTCCTCCGTCATCAGGCGCCGCACCTATACCAAGTTACGCGGACTCCACTCGTTGACAGTTTGTTGAAGTGTCTGATGAACGACACTGACACGACAGTCCTCTCAGTTGCACTGACATCCTTGATCATGCTCTTTCCTCATATCCCGGCTTCGCTCAAGGATCGACTGCCACGATTGTTCCTGGTGTACAGTCGTCTCCTGTGCTGGGAGCGGTTCTCAGCGCTAAGCGATGATGCCCAGAAGAGCTTGGTCACGGATGATCGCATCTCATCCAGCCCCTACGATCATGACGATGTTGGAATTGATGTATCCTGGGAAAAATGTCGACCCCGCGAGGACTCAACAGAAGCGGCCACTCCAGAGCTCAAGATGTATTTTACTTATCTCTACGGATTATATCCGCTCAATTTCATGAGCTACATTCGCAAGCCGCGCAAATATCTACGAACTGCCAACTTTCCCGGTGCCGATGACTTTGATCTGGACCAAGCGGTCATCCGCAGCAGAAGCGAACAGTTCCGCCAAGTTCATCTCCTTCATCCCAACTTTTACAACCTGACCATTGAGGAGGAGCTTGATGACCCAAAGTGGCCAAAGACGGACCCAGCAGACGTGGTAGCAGAGTGTCAGGCCTTGGCCATGGACAGTCAGAAGTCCGTCTACGCGAGCCCTGGGCCGCCGCCTACCAGCAAATTACCTCCCTTGCCCCTTCCACCTGTACCACCCATACCGGCACAAAGTCATGGAGCCATTTCCCCCGCGATCAGTCATACGAGTCTGCGCTCGGGAGCCAGCTGGCGAGATACTCAGTCTACTGCTGTTGATCCCGAGAGCCCAGTACTTGGCCCTGCAGATAGCACAGAGCTGTCGCGGCCGAGAAGTAAAGGTGCAGGCAATCCTTCATTGGAAGACTTCCCGGTTCCGTCAAGTGGTGGTCAACCGAACCCAGATAAGCAAGACTTGTCTCAGACGAATCTAGCCTACCTGCAGCGGGAATTGACTCTGGTCCGCAACGAGCTGAACTTTGAGCGTTGGCATAAGGCGCAATACTCGCAGCACATCGGACAGCTCATGCGCAAGAATGTCAAGGATGCGACTGTAGAGGCAGAGCACCTCAACTTGCTCAATGCCAATCGTGCGCTGAAGCAGCAGCTTGAGCAAGTGCGCAGCGCACGTGAAGCAACGATCCGAGACTCCACCCTCACTCGCAAGCAGGCGAACAATCTGGAAGCGAACATGACGGAGCGTTTCAATAAGCTGAAGAAGGAACAAGAAACATGGGCAGCGGATGCCGAGGAACTGCGCAAGCTTCGTGCGGAGATGAAGACGTATCGTGATTTGTTGAGTGCATCCGAGGCGCGCGAACTTCGAACCTCACAAGATCTTGAAATGGCCAAACGAGATCTTGAGCAGGTGCGGAAGTTGGAAGATCAGCTTGAGGAGGCTCGTCGAAAACTCCGCCAGTTGGAGTACAAAGAGTGGGACTTTGAGCATTCGAAACGAGAGCAGGAGATGCTGGTGAGCGAGAAGGAAACTCTGCAGATGCGGGTCCGACGACATGAACAGGAGATGGAGCGCACCAAGCGCATGTACAGTGATCGCATTGCGGAGCTGGAAGCATCACTCGGGACCAGAGACAGCTTCGATCGACCTACGACGTCTATTGGAGGACACACAGATGTGTCGGCTGCTCATGCAGCAACGCTGCAGGAGCTTGATGATGCGAGAGAAAAGCTGGCCCAGCTGAAGAAGACACACTCTCGATTACTTGAGCGGTTTACTGACATGGAACTGGAGTACCATTCGGTCAAGACGCAACTCGCACGCTTGCAGGGTGTTCCTGAGGATGATTACGATGGGGTGAAGAGCACCAGTAATGTGAGGCAGTCCAGGAGTATGTCTGGTGGAGTTCGGCCTGGAGTCATTGCCAGCATCTACGACATTGCGAGCGAGTACGAAGCGCCATCGGAGACGAACTTGACAAGCATCAGTAGAAGCGATCCCACGCCGAGACATCACATGCCCAGCATACCTGTGGCAACTGTCACGCCGCCTCGGAGTGAGGCCACAGTGGATAAGAGTGCCGGCTTGACGTGGAAGCCTTCGGTTGCGAGGACCCAAAAGAGTGATCAGAGTGAATCTTCACTAGTGTACAATCGGACTGCTCCTCTTGCGGCCGACGAGCAGAGTGTTCTTAGTGGAACCAGTACTGCCAGCGACGGCAAGAAGGCTAAGATTGATGCCAAGAGCGAGGTGCGAGTCTATGGGCGTGGTGAGTCGTCGTGGAGGGTTAGCACTGGATCACAGAACAGTATACTAACGGCTTTCAGGTGGAGCACAGAACATCAAGCTGAAGTCCAAGGATGAGCAGCCGAAGAAGGCAGAAAAGAAGGGTGGGTTCGGGAGTCGACTTGGGAAAGGCTTGGGGTTGGGTTGAGGATGAACGTGTGTTCCAGCTCTGTGCGCAATAGTTGGAGGGGGTGTAGCATAGGAAAGATGTACCACTTGGAAGGATTTGGCGAGTAATGAAGACTCAGTGGATACCGAAAGGCTTGGCACGATTTGCACAGTGTCCCAGGCGACAGTATAGTCCGCAGAGCTGCATCGATCACGACTCAATACTTTTAGACCTCAACCCGTTGCCGCCCCGCGAAGAGGTCTTGCTGTTGTGTACCTTGGACAATGGTGTGCCACATCAGTCCTGCCATGGTATTTGCAGCATGGACCGGAACGATTTCCCGAATCTGACTTAGTTGCAAGCGCTCCGAGGATGCGATATGCCTCGAGGGCGAACAGCTTCTGGTCCAGTCTGGCGACCGCGAGCGGCGTGATGTGATGGGCTCCGCAGCATACCGTGTATTGGTAGAGAAGCTTGTGTCCCGGCAAGTCGCCATCTTGTTGATTGACCTGGTTCCGGCATCGACGTGAATACACAAACCTTTTCACCAGAGGCATCGTGTCGAGCGCAGGAGACAGAGGCGAAGGCTATGCAAGCTCTTCGACTGCGTTCTCTGGGAGACAAGGAGGTGGGCAAACGAGTCAAGCTTGGTCACACGCCAGTGCCGCTGTTCTCGGTTACTCGCTGCTGCTATAGGTTGGTCTGGCCACGCCTGTGATAGTAGGCGCAGGACCTCCATTTGCCTTCCCGAAATGGTAGCTGCAGGACGCCACATTGTGGCCAGATCGGGTCAGCACAAAGGCTATTCGATCCCCCGAAGCCCTGTCCATCTTGCTTGCGTTTCACATTATCATGCAACAGACGCTTTGCAGCCGTTTAACCTGGAGTCGACGCAGCTGCGTATCGTAATAGTAGCGATACCGTTCCGTCTATCGCTAGCAGCCTATAAGCTACCTCCCCGTAGTAATAAATTTTAATATATATTAGTAGCTAAACTTTGCTTACGTAGCTTCTGCTAGCCGTATAAATAGTAACTAACGCACGTTAGCCTTTAGAATACTAAACGCTAGTAGCTAATAGCTATATATACTACGAGAAGTTCTAGCGATTATAGAGTATACTAGGAATCTACTCCTCTCTAATAATCTATAATAAGGAATACTCTATCTTCTTCTACTTAATAAAACTCTTTATAAGTCTAATACTATTTATAGTAAGCTTAGTAGTATATAATACGTCGTATAAGATTAAGAAGAGCGTTAATCGTCCTAGAGAAGACTATAGGTTAGCTAAGATCTACTCGTTCGATAACTAAAATATACTATAGTAAATAAAGTATAATAGTAGTTATAATATATATAGTATCTAAGTAGTAGAGTATAGGTAAATTACTATAAGGATAGTAACTATTACTATTTTAAGAAATAGATTAAAGTATTACGATTTAAGATTCTATAGATACTATATCTTTCTATTTAATAGTTAGGCCTCG